ATGAAGTATGGTCTCCTCATTAATTCTGCTCTGTACACAGAATGTTCTGTCTCTCTACCCTCCTTCACTCTCCAGAGATGCCTTCCTTAATACCTTATCTAAGCAGACATTTTTATCTGTAGGAACTTATCACTACCAGAAGTTATCTTGTTTATTTGTTTGCCTGTTCTTGTACCCTTCATTACTGCATGCAAGGTCCGTGAGAGCAAGAACTTTGTCCTGTTCATTCCTGTATCTCCAGTCCCTCAGAGAGTGACTGACACACTATGGGCATTCAACCTGCTCTTCCTGGAGTGTGGGGTTTCTTTGAGAAAAAGTAAGCTCGCCAGTTCAAAGTTGATTCTCAAAAAACATTAATTTTCTTTCCTACCTACTGATAAACTGATCAATTCAGTTCCCTGATTGGCACACACATATCGTTTTGATTGTAAAGGATGTTACATTCTATTATTTTAAAACACATAGTAGGGCTGGGGGTATATTTCAATGGTAGACCACTTGTTTAGTGTATATGAAGCCATCCCCTACACTAAAATAAAATAAAATAAAACCTATAGTAAGGAAAAATGACAATATGTTAAGTATTCTCTTTTTGTTCCTCGTAATCTACTGTTCAGTCTTTGCCCTCTACTGTGTCCTGGAACACAGACCTTAAGAACTACTTCACTGATATCTGGCTAGGCTTGGTCACTGGGAGGCACCATCAGGAGATCAGAAGTCAGAGCAGAGTGAGGTTCTCCTGAGTTCCTTTACTAAAGGCTTAAAGTTCCTGATGGGCAACCCTCTCCTGTATTCCTCAGGCAGGGGTCACCATTCTTTCATGCCTAGGGATGTAACATCCCTGTCAATTTCTCTTAACCCTATCCATACCTTTATAATCAGTTCCTTCATTAAATTCTCCTCCACATCACTGACATGTGCCATCTCTCAAAATTGAACTTTCATTTGTTTCCTAGAGGAACTCTGATTGATACAGACTGAATGAAGAAAGTGTGTGGAATTGCAACATGGGCTTCAGCAACACAAAACAACAAACACAAGGAGAGTCATGGAATGACTAAGATAAATGATAAGACTAACTGCACATTCTGTTTGCTTCTCTTTTTGTGCCTGTGGATCACAGCTTCTGAGGTTATGCACTCTAGAAGCAGATGCTGAGAGGGAGAGGGTTCAAGGGATCAATGAGAGGAAAGGGGAGAAAAGGGTAAAGGGGGAAGTCGAATTGCAACATAGGACCTGCAAAATCTCAGTCAACCCAACAGGAAGCTCTGGATGAAAAATATCTGGAAGGTTCTCCCACATTAGGTTGAAATGACCATGCCTTTCACTCCCTCCTTTACTCAATAGATTTATTAGACCACCCAAGAAGGAGCAATTTGGTGTAAGGGAAGTCACTGCACTGAGGCCAACCTTGACATACCTACCAGTTGGAAACAGTCTGCTAACTGAATTCCCCTTATCAGGGAAGAAGTCCCACCTTGAAGAGGGGTTTGGGGGGCAGTTTTCATGTCTTCCACATCAGTTTGAATCTCAGTCCCTCCTGGGCCTTATCTCTCAGTGCACACCTATTTGCCATGGGGATTGTTTCCAAAGGAATGTTCTCATGCCCCATTCCTACCATCCCTAGTAATGCCCCCCAGCTTAATCAGTTCAGCTTATCCCAAGTACTTTCTAATTAAATTCTGTCTTATAAATTGCCAGAATGGTGGGCAGATGGAACTATCTTCCCATTTTAGGAAATTTGAGATAATAATAAGAAGGTACTAAATAACATCAGAAATAACATCTCTACCCCATTTGTGTATATGTGTCAAAATGCATTCTAGTGTCATCTATAATAAATTTTTTTAAAAATAGGAGACCAATAGAATAGAAGAAGGAGATTGGGGCAAGGAAGGAGGGAAAGGGGAGGTACTAGGGAATGAAATTGATCAAATTATGCTGTTTTATTGTGTGCACATATGAATATATTACAACAAATCCAACTTTTATGCATAATTATAATGCACCAATAAAAAGGAAAAAAATCTATACCATAAAATTAGCCAACTTAAAAAAAAAATAACATCACCTGAAAAACCAGCCTCTATCTCAGAGCAAAGCCTGTCCAAGGAAGGGACATGGCCTTTGTCCTTAGAAAAACCCACAGAGCACTCCTAAGCACATTCCCACCCTGCTAAATTTATCTACAAATAACAGGAGAGATCTGCTGTGCCAGGTGTCCCTGACTCAGTCAGGCTAGGTGGGGATCCATAGCAACCCCCTAGCAGCCACCAATCAGCATGAGACAGGGAAATACCTGGGATGCCAGATGACCCTCCCTATGGTGTTGAGAAACCCCGTAGTTCAGCACGAACACCCCTCTTGGCTTAAGCCAATCAGTTCAAATGAATACCCCTTACCCAACTTGTTCCCTCCAGTGAATGTGCTAATCATGTTTTAGAGTTGTTATTTGATTTTCCCCGCGGTGTGTGATGATTTGCTAAGAGATGCTATGATGTATGTGGGGGTCCCTGCCTTCTCCAAAGAATGTATAAAACTGCTTCAAACCCTGGGCTCGGGGCCTCTCAGCTTCAACAGTTGCTGTGTGTGTACGCGGAGGACCGAGGTAGCTCACAATAAATACTTCTTTGCTGTTTACATCGATCTTGGTCTCTGGTGGTCTTTTAGGGGGTCCCGAATTCGAGCATAACACACCAAGCATAGGAGTGAAGCACTCATGATCATTTTTATGTTCCCACAGGAAGACTTGTTCTGGGATTTTATCGCTAAGATACTATTGAGTAGCTCTGATGATTCATTCTTTTGCTTTATGAGGTAGGTGTTCTTACCTCCTGTTCCATTTGTGTAGAAGGATATTCTTTCAGTGTTCTTAGCTGAGTTACTACCAAGACACCTTCCTCAGGGTTAGCTTTATATATTTGAATATTGTTACATTTAATCTATCAAATACATCAGCAATTAGGTAATATATGTCTAAGTTACTATGACTGTTATTTATAGTGAAATAGCCTTCTTTCTTTTTCAACTAAATGTGCTTGTCCTCTTTATATATCCTTTCTTTACCTGGTTCTGTGAGAAACTGTTAATCAACATTGTTCTATCATACTTTTAAATATCTTGTTAAATGATATTTAAATGATGATCTGAACACAAAATGAGATCATGTGCATTAAATAGAAGAGTGTGAGAGCATTTCTAGTAGGAGCAAATCTCTCTGGGCTGGTATTGTAAGCAAGAATTTTCTCTACTCAAATCTCCTTTAGGCCAATCAACAGATGAATTTACATTTTACCGGGCTCATATTGTTCTTAATTTAGAACATGATTAATTAGTCCTAAATTTAGTCTTAATGTTTTTAATATTGAATATATAACAAGGATAATTAGGCTATATAAATTACTAGATATTCTTGATTTAATATTGGACTTGGTAATATAAATTATGCTAATAAACTTGTGCCAAATTTTGAAGCTGAAAAACTTGATTCTTCTTTAGATGTCTTTGGCATCATTGCTTATAGATTTTCAAAGGTATTACCTGCTGGGTACATGGCACATGCCTGTAATCCCAGAGGCTGGGGAGGCTGAGGTAGGAGGATCACGAGTTCAAAGCCAGCCTCAGCAGTGGCGAGATGCTAAGTGACTTAGTGAGACCTTGTCTCTAAATAAAATACAAAATAGGGCTCAGGATGTGACTCAGTGTTTGAGTGCCCCTGAGATTTAATCCCCTGTATCAAAAAAAAAAAAAAAAAGAACCCACTTCTTTTTGTTTGTGAATGTGTGCAAATGATCTGTGCTCTGTTGCCAGCGAAATAACCCACAGGCATCTACTTTTTAGATTCTTTCAGAGGATGTAAAAATCTTAGCTCTGAGAGATCAGGCTTTGTACCTATCATTGATTTTGAAAAACAAATACTTCCTTTTTTAGAATTTTGGAAGCAAAAGTCCTTCACGTTAGATTGCTCAGGTGCTGGGCATTTGTCTTAGTTCTGTCAAGCACTAGAGGGGAGTGTGGTGTCATACAAGTGCTGTCCTGAGCACCTACAGATCTAGGCAGTTTATTACACAAAAATTCTCATTATAGCACTTTGATTCTTTTTAAACCACAACAATATTCAAATGATTTGATTTTCACAGATTTATTATTATTTTTAAATGATATATACTCACCGATTTTAGAAAAAGAAAGCCACCCAATATAGAAAATTAGAATGCCACCTGAAATCGTACTCCCCTATTTTTCAGCCATTTTATCTTAGTCTTGCTCGTACATGCTAGACAAATGCTCTATCACTGAGCTACATCCCAGCCCTGCATATAATTTTAAACACACAGAATAGTACTTTTCTTGCTATTTCTGCAGTAGTATTGTTATAAACTAAGTAGACATCTTTCCACAGCTTGATTCTTGGTGGTAAATCACCATGGTTACCAGTGTGAAGTATCACAATGCCTAGGTTTAAATTTCTTCTCCATGTACTATATGACATTGGGACTTCCTGTCTCTATGTGCCTAAATTCCCTCATATGCAAATATGGAGATGATAATATTGCCTACCCAATAGAGTTGGTATAGGTTAAATCAGATCATATATCTACATACTTAAGATGGTACATGAAACAGTGAATAGTTACTACATTTTAAATATTACTCTTCACTAAACACAGTTATAGTTTCATAGTAACACTGAAGAGCTTTTTAAAATATTAAAATAGAATTTTTTTTTCAGATACTTTTCATTATATTGCTGTTTCTACTTAAAACTATATACTTTGTCTGTTGATGCTGGGATTTTCATGTAGCAAATACTTGGTTTGTACTTGTTGACTAATCTACCCAAAGACTGTAACTGTTTTTGTGAAGGTCCGCTTGAGAACTGTCCTGTCAAATGTAAGGTAACTTTAAGTGAGACTGTTGTACATGGGCTGCCTTTATGAGACATTAGTCCAACTACAATCCTCTGTTAATTATTAAGCCTTACGTATTATCTGGATACCACAGATTGAGAACACAGTGTTTGCTCAAGTTAAACTTACAGATAGAAAAATGTAGCTATCAGGGGACTAAAAACCAAAAGATCTTTGCTGTTTAATGAAGACAGTAGAATATCTCCTGTTTTGGCTGGCTTGTCTACAACCTAAATAACTGGTTTAGATCTCATTTGGAATTCCTGGTTTCTTGTTTTAGCATGGCGGAACTTGCTGTTCACAGAATCCTTCTTTTGGTTATTTCACTGACAAAGTGTCTGGAGGGTACAAAACTGCTGGCAGAACTTAAAAAATGTGGTGACCTGGAATGTGAAAGTAAGTTCATTTTTCTTTTCATTCTACTCTTAAATTGAGGCTCTGAAATCACATAAATGTTTTTTGTGGGCATTTGTGATAAAAAATGAACCTTAATATAATTGTGAAATATTTGAATTATAAGTATAGCCCAGTATAAAAGAAAAATTCTGGAAGAAAAGCATTTTTTAATAATATTTAATATAAGCATACAAAGGACAAATATCAGATTGATACAGAAGTATATCAGAGTTAAATAATAGAAATCCATACCTCAAACACAAATCAATCAGTTCTTTTAAAAAGATAAATATAATTGATTTGAATAAAAAAGATATCAGGCCGTTGGATAGTTCTTTATTTATAAAATTTCTACTATTTAGTTTCTATTTCATATGAGTCTCATAAATTTTCTAAAAAACTTTTTATTGGGCTGGGGATGTGGCTCAAGCAGTAGCGCGCTCACCTGGCATGCGTGCGGCCTGGGTTCGATCCTCAGCACCACATACAAACAAAGATGTTGCGTTCTCTGAAAACTAAAAAAAAAATAAATAAATATTAAAAAATTCTCTCTCTCTCTCTCTTAAAAAAAAATAATAGTTAAAAAAAATAAAAATAAAAAACTTTTTATTTCAAAAAATCTGTCTAATTATCAAATATTAATCATTTCTGTATTTATTATATAAAAGTATTGAAGTAAATCTTACAATATAAATGTAACTTTATTTTTTTTAAGAGAGAGAGAGAATTTTAATATTTATTTTTTAGTTATCGGCGGACACAACATCTTTGTTTGTATGTGGTGCTGAGGATCGAACCCGGGCCACACACATGCCAGTAGAGCTCGCTACTGCTTGAGCCACATCCCCAGCCCCTAATTTTATACTATTAAATACCAGTAAACTTTTTTGATTTACTGTGAGGAAAAATTAATTTCCATTTTATTGTTTGAGAACTTATTTTTTGTGTTATTAGCATTATGTTTAAAATAAATGAATCCTCATATAGTATAGTTGCTGAAAAGTCTTTCTTTCCAATATGTGATTTATGTCCAATTTGCAACATACATATTTTTAGCAGTGCAAAATATTATTAATGTAAACATGAATAATTTATAAGTAAAATTTTTATGAGTAAACATTTTTCTCAAGCTTTGGGTAAATAATTTAATATGCAAAGAAGTATATTAAATAGCATATTATAATAATAAACCCTCTTCCCCTATTTATGCTGTAACATAACCCATTTTAGTATCCTTGGGGCCTGACAGAACATGAAAAAAGTACACTCCAACATTTAGTAAGTTATAAGGTTATTTTAACTTTAATTGTATGGCTTTAAAATATTTAAAAATTTAAAAAAAAAAATTAAAAAAAATATTTAAAAATTTTACATGTTAATATCATTATGATAGTTAATGCATGCATACTGCCTTGTATGATTCTAGCATATGTAGTTATGGTTCATAGTTACTGAGGGTCTACTGTGTGCTGGGTCTGGGGGGTAGGTGGTTGCCTACCCATATTCATTCTACTTAATGATAACAAGACATATCAATATGAAATAGTAAATAGTGATATAACACAATAAGGGTAATAGCCCTAAGTCTGTGTTTTTTTTTTTTAAAGAGAGAGAGAGACAGAGAATTTTAATATTTATTTTTTAGTTATCGGTGGACACAACATCTTTGTTTGTATACAGTGCTGAGGATCGAACCCGGGCTCACGCTACCGCTTGAGCCACATCCCCAGCCCCTTAAGTCTGTGTTTTAAAGTAATAGGAAGATCTTTTTAAATAGGGAAGGGGGGACTAGATCATGGATGTCCTTGAATACCAAGCCCAAACACCTGGGCTTGAGGGTGTGTGCTGTGGGAAGTGTATATAGGTTTTTGTGACCATAAATGACATAAAAGAATTAGCATTTGTAAATACATAGAATGATGAAGATCAGAGAAAGGGAAATCAGATAGGCTAAATGATTAGGACTGCCTTGGAGAGGAATTAGGATATGAGTGAAGCATGTAGAGATAGAGAAGAATTTCTTTTCTTTCTTTCTTTCTTTTTTTTAAAATATTTTTTAGTTGTTGATAGACCTTTATTTTATTTACTTATTTATACGTGGTGCTGAGATTGAACCCAATGCTGCACACTTGCTAGGCAAGCACTCTACCACTGAGCCCAACTCCAGCCCACTCTTTTTTTGTTTTTTGATTCAAGGATTAAACTCAGGTGCTTTGACACTGAGCCACATTCCCAGCCCTTTCAATTTTTTAAAAAATAATTTTTAGTAGTTGATGGACCTTTATTTATTTGTATGTGGTGCTGAGAATCGAACCCAGTGCATCACACATCCTAGGCAAGCGCACTACCACTGAGCCACAACCCTAGCCCAATTTTTCATTTTGAGACAAGGTCTAGTTAAGTTGCTGAGGGTCTCCCTTAGCTGCTGAGGCTGGCATCAAACTTGTGATCCTTCTGCTTCAACCTCTGAGTTGCTGGGATTACAGGTGTATGTCACCATGGCCAGCTTGGGAGGGTTTCTAGGCTGATCCAAGAGCAGAAATAGAAGCTCAGAATAAGAAAGGTGGTGCTGCAGTGAAAGAAAGGGAGGGAGGGAGGGAATGTCGATGCACATCTGGCTCCACCAGAGTTGTATGACTAATTCTCTAAGCCTTAACTAAAGGCTCACTTGTTAGACCAAGATTTCTTTACAGACCTATTTTGAGGATTTAATAAATAAAATGAAAGTGGTTATCATAATGTTTGGAAATATAGTAGGTACAAGAAAGAAAACTAACTTTCCTTTTCAGCAGATTGGATAATGGTAATGAAATATTCCAGGGACAACAGTTTTATAACCTTGATTGTAGCCCTAAGTCTGTGTTTTAAAGTAATAGGAAGGAGATCTTTTTAAATAGGGAAGGGGGACTAGATCATGGATGTCCTTGAATACCAAGCCAAAACACCTGGGTTTGAGGCTGTGTGCTGTGGGAAATGTATATAGGTTTTTGTGACCATAAATGACATAAAAGAATTAGCATTTGTAAATATATAGAATGGATTAGAGGAGAGAAAAATGGAAGAAGGAAAAATAACATTTTAATTTAAAGTATGTTTTTCTTTTTATGTTTACATAGCTTTAATAAGCAGAGTTGTAGCCATGAGAGATTACACAGGACCTGATTGCCTATTCCTGAATTTCACTAAGGGAGAAGAAATATCTGTTTATGCTAAACTTGCAGGACAAAGAGAAGATTTGTGGGCAGGAAGTGTAAGTAACCAGACTTATGAACTGAATACAGAATAAATAACCAACTTAGACAAGGATGCTTCTTTTTTGCCTTTAAAGGAACTCTGGGATTTCAAAGTATTGTAAAAATATTAAAAGCCCCTAACATTTAAACAAACAAAAGTGGTTATGTTCATTGGTGGTTCCAATATTTCCATAAAAGAGGCTTTTGGAAAGATAGCCTGATTGAGATGGAAGACAAAGAGAATGTCTTGAAATTATTTTTTGTATAACATGCATATATTTTAAACTTAGCTTTTATTTTTATTTGGGGAGACTTTAGGGGTGCTGTTGTAGATTATGGGGTGGGTAGGCAATTCCAGCTATCTGTTAGTGTTGCCATGTCAAGTTGGGGAGAGACTGGGAAGTTTTAGTTAATGGGATTATCTTGTTTTTCTAAACAAAAGGTTGAGTTGTTTTTGAAAAGATCATCAGAAAGGTTGGTAGCCTAGGGAAGCAAGGTTCATGCGTTTTTATGAAAAATAAAATAACAACTGGGAGACACTTTTATTGTAACAGTGCTGAATTAGAGGACCAAAGCAAGTAAGTTTTTTTATTTGGTGCAAACTCTTAGTACACTGACATTTCTAGAAGGGCAACATCTTGCATGTGCTTTAACCAGGTTGAGAGAATCTCTGTTACCAAGTCAATCCCAGGGAAGTTGAATTGGACTAAATCTTATCTTGATGACTCCTGGGCCTTTACTATTTTCATGAATCTATCTGTGGCTCTTCCCTGAGCATTACATCTTGAAAATGCTGACTATGTCACAGCTCTGTCTACCATGGCTATTGCCGCCACTGTCTTGCCTTTTGATATTCCAGATCTACTAGTGTAAATCTATGGTTGACCTGTTCAACAAGATCATTAAAGAACAGAGGGAGAGAATGAAAGAGAGAGGGAGGAGGAAAGTATGATTATATGGTGCAGTTTTTGTTTGAAACAGTAGAATTTTAGAGTTTGGCTCAGTATGTTCTTAAATTAATTTTATTCTTTTGAATAATAAAAGAATATGGTTTTACTCATTTTTTAGATGGTATTTGATAGCCAATTAATGTTTTGTGATTTGACTTAGATAAAAGCCAAGGACATGGTATAAAATCAGACTCAATAGTTATTATTGCTTTGATCACTCCTCCTTGGTAATTTTTGTTCTTCATTTTGATAGAAAGGAAAGAACTTTGGGTTTTTTCCCAGAGATGCAGTCCAGATTGAAGAGGTATTCGTATCTGAAGAGGTTGAAATATCAACTAAAGTGAGTAAATTCATTCTCAGCTATGAATTTAATTTAAAATTTCTTGGCCAAAACAGTTTTTCTTAGTACAAGTGTCCATTGATTGTGTGTCTCATATAGTAAATGTATAAAATAGTTGGTCTGTGGACTTACCTTAGGAAGAGTTCGACGATATGAGTAAAATTAGGTAAGAAAAAATTGATGATAAAGATTCTGCTTTTAGAACAATTCATAGGTGATAGTTAAAAGCATGAATTCTAGAGATGGATTGAATTTAAAGCCTGACTCAGATACTTACTAGTTATGTGGCTCTCCCTGTCTCAATTTCTTCATCTGCAACATGGGAGTGATGAGTATAACATAGTGCTTCCTCAAATTTATTGAGGAATACATGATCATATATAAAAAGTACATAGACACTTAGTAAGTACTGTATAGATGTTAGAGACAATTACTTAATACTCCTGTGCTACTAGGACCAGAGTTTATTTCCCAACCTATTCCCTAGGTCTCAAATTTGTACCTCTTTTGCTGTTGGAGTTTTTAATGAGCTTAGTAATGTTGATCTTAATAATAATAAAGGGACTCAGAAAGTAACTTTAATTTTTAGTTGTAGATGGGACACTATATCTTTATTTTTATTTATTTATTTTTATGTGGTGCTGGGGATTGAACCCAGTGCCTTACATGGGCCAGGCAAGTGCTTTACCAGTGGGCTACAACCTCAGCCCAGAAAGTAACTTTTTAATATATGAACATGATTAGCCCATTTAATTCAGATTTCAGGTTTGGCCAATTTATTGCAAATAAGGTCAGTGTGATGTGAGCCTATCTAGTTAAACCAATTATCTATTGTCTGGCTTTTTCCCAACACAAACTCAGGGATTAACTGTCCATTTATTGTATAATAATTGGTCCTGTCAGTTCTATTACTATAATGTATCTGCAGCACACTGTCTTCTGCTAATTTCTGCTCTCCCTATAGCACTAATCCAAGGCATCATCCTCACTTGATTGGAATGCTACCATACCATTCTAACTTTTCTTGCCTCTTCTTTTGCCTTCTTCTAATCCATTCTCTAATGATCATATAAAAACAAAAACACACACACAAAAAAAAATGAGATGTTTACATGTTCTGTCACTGCCCCCTGCCCTCCTCTCTCTTGCAGATTCCTGCTTCCTGCCATTCCTCTCATTCACCATTCTCCTGATCTAACAGGCCTTTGGATCATTCTTAGAGCATGAAAAGCTCAGGGACCCAAATAGGTTTTTTTTTTTTTTACAAAAAAAACCAAATAGGGTTTTATCTTTTTTGTTTGAATGCTTTCTCCAAATTCTTCACCTTGCTAGTTCCTTTATATCTTTTAGGTCACAGTTTAAACATCATTAAGGTTTTCTGCCTCCCAATGTGGGGAAAAAGGCACACTCATACATTGCTGGTGGGACTGCAAACCGGTGCAGCCAATATGGAAAGCAGTATGGAGACACCTTGGAAAACTGGGAATGGAACTACCATTTGACCCAGCTATCCCTCTCCTCTGTCTATACCCAAAGGACTTAAAAACAGCATACTACAGGGACACAACCACATCAATGTTTATAGCAGCACAATTCACAATAGCTAAACTGTGGAACCAACCTAGATGCCCCTCAGTGGATGAATGGATAAAAAAAAAATGTGGTGTATATACACAATGGAATGTTACTCAGCAATAAAAGAGAATAAAATCATGGCACTTGCAGGTAAATGGATGGCATTGGGGAAAATAGTGCTAAGTGAAGTTAGCCAATCTCCCCCGCAAAAAAAAAAAAACAAATGCTGGATGTTTTCTCTGATATAAGGTGACTGACCCATAATGGGGTAAGGAGAGAGGGAGCATGGGAGGAATAGACAAACTCTAGATAGGGCAGAGGAGTGGGAGGAAAAGGGAAGGGAGTAGGGGGTTAGCAATGATGGTGGAATGTGATAGACATCATTATCCAAAGTGCATGTATGAAGACATGAATTGGTGTGAACATACTTTATATACAACCAGAGATATGAAAAATTGTGCTCTAATGTGTAATAAGAATTATAATGCATTCCACTGTCATGTATTTTAAAAATAAAATCAATTAAATATTTTTTTTTAAAAAGTTTTCTGCCTCCCAGAAAACTTTTAGGATAATAGGCACATACCTGGATTGTGATGGTAACAACAGTATATTCATTTGTTCCAACCCAGAAAAATACATAAGGTAATTCTGTGCAACTTTTTGATAGTCTTCCATACAGCTGGGGGGGGGGGGAAGTATGCTGAGTTTACAAAGAAAAACAAACAACAACAAAATCTTCAGAGAGGCTTTCCATGATTCTAAAGGAATTATTCCTTAAGTGCTTTATTTATTTACTTATTTATTTTTTTTAATAATGGGCATCAAACCTGCTTAACCATCCCTGGATCTTTTTATATTTTATTTAGAGACAGGGTCTTGCTAAATTGCTGAAACAGGCTTTGAACTCCTGATCCTCCTGCCTCTGCCTCCCAATCCACTGGGATTACAGGAATTTTTGCTTCTTAATGATACCACCGGTTATCGTTATCGTGACAAGTTCTGTTCCCTCACATGTTGAAGTGTAATATTAGAGAAGCATGCCGAGGCAAGCATATGAAACAGGGTTTATTTAAAAAGGGGTTAACATAGACTTCTCCCAGGAAGGAGAAGGGGGCCATGGCTGGTATCCTGGTATCCCAAGAAGTGAAAAGTGTTCTGCCTTTTTTATAGGTTTTAGGCTGTTGTTCTCCTGCTCTCTTCCCCTTATCTCTCTCCTTCTTGACTAGGCCCAGGAGATGCTCAGTGGGATGGCCAAAAGGTGGAAAGCAGATGGGTTGGAGTGATCTGGGCAGGAAGGGGGCATAATTAACAACTCCCTGTAGGGAGGGACAGGTTACCTTAGCAACAGGTTGGAGCAAGGGCAGGTTATCCTGTTAATAAAGGTGGAGAAAGGACTCTGAAGGAATTAACATCTCAATTCTTCATTCTCTGGATCCAACCCTTGCCTTTCTGCCTATCTAATTTTGGCTTCATTAATGTGATTTTCTTTCATGGCACTAATTGCAATTTACAACTACCTTTTTTTTTTTAATTGCTTACTGTAGAACCCTAACATCTCGCATGGTAGCATAATAAAAGAAAAGGGCCTGGATTCTTTTGTTTTGTTGAGATTGTGACCTTGCCGTGTTGCCCAGGCTGGTCTTGAACTCCTAATCCCTTTTTCTCAGCCTCCTGAATAGCCAGATTACAGGCACCCACTAATATGCCCACCTCACCCAGATTCTTGTATCAAATTCCCTAGGAAACAGACACTGAGGCATGTTTTCTGAGGAGTACCTTTGGGCACAGTACTTGTAAGGCAACAAAAGGAAAACAGGATTGGGCTGACAGAAGCTGAAAAGTCATGCAGTTAAAATAAAGGTAGCCTTGGATTCCATAAGGAGCTCTGAGGTTAGAGTTATCCTGAACATAAATAAGAGCGTTGGGCCATCTACCCTTATAATACTGCAGCAGAAGTAACTTTTTCTGGAATAGTTTAACTTTGAGCTGGGTGAGGCTAATATGTACTGGAGACAGTTACTATTCGAAACCCTTGACTCATTTAATACTTAAAAGGAAGAGGACTATCATTGTTCCCATCTTACAGATCAGGAGAAGGAGGTATAAAAAGGTCATATAATTCATCCAAGGTCGCAGAGCTAATAGATGACAAGATCCAATGTCTGTTCTTAGTCACCTACTATTCTGTAGTGTCAAACATATATTATAAAATTGCAATTCTGAAGTTTTTTCCTCAAAAATCTAAACTTTATCCTCATTTTATAATGGTAATAGCCAAAGAGGAGCCCACACCACTATTTCTAAATTTCAGGTTTTTAAAAAGTGACTTCTTAATTTTTTTTTCTTTATGATTTTGTTGCTCTGTGAGATAAGCAAATAAAGCCTCAGTGTCATTGGTTATATGTAAAAGCCGAATAAGGACATCTGAAAGTTTTAGTACAGCTTTTAACCAGGGCTTCATACTTCAGCATCACAGGTCTATCTAAGCTGTGATAATACGTAGTAAAATTCCCTATTGTCTTGTCTGTTCTTGCTGCTGTACCAGAATACCAGAGATTGGGAAACTTTAAAAAATTTTTTTTTTAGTTATAGATGAACACAGTACCTTTATTTAATATATTTATTTTTATTTGGTGCTGAGGATCGAACCCAGTGCCTCACACGTGCTAGGCAAGCACTCTACCACTGAGCCACAACCCCAGCCTGAGACTGGGAAACTTTTAAAGGGAAGAAATTTATTTTTCACAGTTCTAAAAACCAGGAGGAAGTCCAATATCAAGAGACCCGTTGGGGCTGGGGATGTGACTCAAGTGGTAGCGCGCTCGCCTGGCATGCGTGCAGCCCGGGTTCGATCCTCAGCACCACATACAAACAAAGATGTTGTGTCCACCGAAAAATAAATAAATAAATATTAAAAAAAAAAAAAGAGACCCGCATCTGTTGAGGGTTTTCTTTCTGCATCGTTCCATGGTGGCAGGTGAGAGGATGAGAGAGGACATGAGAGAGCAAGAAGGGGTTGAGTTCATACTTCAGAGAAGGAAATCACTCCTGGGATACATGGTAGGATGAATACACTCCTACCATAGCAAAATTTATCCATTCTCTCTGCTCTCATGGTCTAATTACTTCTCCTTTGGTCCCATCTCCTAACACTGTTGCATTGAGAATTAAATTTCCACCACAGGCTTTTTGGTGAATACATTTAAACCATAGCAGTCTCTCATATCACCACACAGACACATGTATCCTCTCAGTATAATCTTCAGATGTGCAATATTTTGTGGATCTGCATGCCTTTTCTTCAAGAGCTTATTTATAGAATATACTTGAAGCATGATTCTCTCTTCTTCTCAACTATTTAATAATTCAGAAACTGTAATGTAAAAGGATTTTCATTATAAAAAGAGAAAAGAAAGAAAAAACTGGATCTTCATTTAGGTTTATATTATTAACCTTTAGAAGTCAGTTGTGATGTGTTTGAGATTAGAAGATCTGATTTTAGTTTTTGCTCTGAAGTTGAGCTTATTGTTTTGTCTTGGGAAAATCATAGTCATCCTTTTAAAATGGTACAGAGAGAATGAAGAGCTTTAGTACATTTATGTGAAATGCAATTTTTTTTTTCTTTTAGGAATCTGACTTTCTTTGTCTCCTTGGAGTAAGTTACGTATTTGAAAATAAAGATAGGGAGTTTAACAGTCACAGTGGTGAAAATATGTATCCATATGAAGAAGAGCAAAAATATAGTATATATGGAAGTGATTTCCAGATAGAATCTGAATTTTATGCAATTTCTGAAGGCCAATTTCCCACATCAGAGTCTTCTGAAGATATTAGAAATGACTGGGAAGAAGCCAAAACTGGAAGTGTGAAACAGGATCACGTTCCAGAAGTGGATCATATCTCATCACCCTTAACTGAAGTACAAGGATGGTTTGGACTGAGAAAGGAACATGGTGAAGAAAAGCCTCTTGAATCAGTCATTGAACCTGTGCAAGGAAGCTCATTTCAAAGTAGAAAAATAACAGGGGGAGATGAAAATAACCTAGAGGAATTAAATAATGGTGAGCCCCGAACTGAACATAAGCGAGAACCTGAATCAGAATTTGATTCAGTACCAAAGCAACAGTTGGCACTAGCACTGGAGTCAGAGCATGTACTCAAACCCCAAGCCAATGGTTGGTTTGGTGGTGAATTTACAAGTAAATCTGACCACGATAATGAACAGGAAATAAAAATGATAAAAACTATGGAAACAGAGGATCAAATAGATAAGGAAAAAGTCTTAGAGAAAACAGATGATTCTTACACCATAGCATATTTTACAAAGTTATTCTATAATTTTGATAACCCTTGGAGCTTCCAGAACATTCCAAAGGAAACAGAGTTGCCATTTCCCAAACAGATACTGGATCAAAGTAATATGGTTGAAAATAATGAAAGAGAAGAATTTTCTGGAGAAAATGATCCTAGAGATAATATGAAAGATCTCACAATGTTGAAAAACAGATATTATCAATCAGGTTGGTATGAAGATATTTATAATTTATTCATTAACATAATTTTTTAATTTTAATTTTTTTAGTTGTAGATGGGCACAGTACCTTAATTTTATTTATTTTTATATGTTGCTGAGGATCAGATCCAGTGACTTACATGTGCTAGGCAAGCACTCTATCACTGAGCCACAATCCCAGCCCGACATAATTTTTTTCTTTTTTTTTAATGTTTTTTAAAGAGAGAGAGAGAGAGAGAGAGAGAGAGAGAGAGAGAGAGAATTTTTTAATATTTATTTTTCAGTTTTCGGCAGACACAACATCTTTGTTTGTATGTGGTGCTCAGGATCGAACCTGGGCCACACGCATGCCAGGCGAGTGCGCTACCGCTTGAGCCACATCCCCAGCCCCCCGACATAATTTTTTTCAACATTTATTTTTTAGTTGTAGTTGGTCAGAAAACCTTTATTTTATTTATTTACTTTTATGTGGTTTTGAGGATCGAACCCAGGGCCTCACACATGCTAAGCATGCACTCTACCACTGAGCCATAATCCGAGCCCCACAATTTATTTAAGTACAAATTGGATAAAAAACAGTCCAGGAAACCATGTTGTTCAAAATATTCAATAATTAACACCAACCACTCTTTTATAAATTTCTAGTTTACTGTGGAACTTAGATTATAATCTTATAAGGCAAAATCCCATGGGAAAAAGAATAACTGGAGAAATATTGATGTTCTAAGAAGATCCTAAGGTATTTTACAGAAACTTTATTATCAAATTGATATATGTAAATAGGTTTAAATTTTTAAATAGCACTAAGCCATTTTTTAAAAGCAATTTATTTCGTATTCTTATTTCCTGAACTCTCCAAGTGCTATGGGGGTCCTCAGATCTTTTGAGGAGTTCCAAAAGGAGGCTTTACATGTGTTCATAAGCCATTCTGTTGTTGTCACAATGGGGCAGTTATATCAGGTTCTCTCTGACTTCAGCTCTCACCAGATGACTCTCCATGACCCTAAACCCCTTGAAGGAATCAAAACTGTTGTGTTTCTGGTCATCCCAGGAAGCTGGGTTTCTGTCTACCGGGAGATAACCCACAGTACATGGGCCTCCAAAGCGATTTGTGTACTATGGGTTAGCTTCTGACCTTTCCCCTCAGATCTCATAAATTGAGATCAAAAGTCAGAAAGGGAGCGTCTACCTGATCAGTTCTCCTCCTCTCTACCAAGATCCTCCTTCTGCCCTTTATCCTTTGCCACCTTAAGGCAACTTTAGATCCTTGGAGCCAGGACAATTGCAAATCTCCATCTCAGAAGGAGCTGTTCCTTCACATTTGTTTGTCTGCAAGATCAATTTGAGTGCTTTTTCCTGATACAAGAACTGGGTGTCCTAAAGGCATATGGAAATTTGTATAGGAACAGGATTCCAGTGAAAAGTTTGCTTTGATTGTTCTCTTAGGCTCATTGAAAATCTTAGGACTGAGATTCTGTGGAGCACAATATAACGTAAGGGTCCAAGTAATAAATAAGACAAATTGAGCCTTAAAAGAAGTGAAATTATTTGTAAGATGAAAAAAAAAGCAATTTCTATTGCTTCTATTCCAATCCCACCTCTGTCCCAGAAAAAATAATTTGTTTTTGTTTTTTTAAAACATTTTTTTTGGAAGTGGTTGGAAACAATACTTTTATTTTATTTATTTATTTTTATGTGGTGCTGAGGATTGAACCCAGGGCCTTGCATGTGCTAGATGAGCGCTCTACCGATGAGCCACAATACCAGCCCCAATAATTTGTTTTTGATGTTTTAAAAATCAAATCTTTTTAGTATTTTTCTTTAGTTTTCTAAATATAATCTTTTTATTATTCTGTTTTTATTAATCTATTTTATACAAAGTCTTTTGACTTCCTGTTCTGATAAATGAAGATTTTTGCTTATTTATACTCATTTTTATTTTTTAAGAGAGAGAGAGAGAGAGAGAGAATTTTTTAACATTTATTTTTTAGTTCTCGGCGGACACAACATCTTTGTTTTTATGTGGTGCTGAGGATCGAACCCAGGCCGCACGCGTGCCAGGCGAGCGAGCTACCGCCTGAGCCACATCCCCAGCCCTGAAACTTGCTTTAATTGGAAAAATTGCATAAGAAAATGGAATCAGATCCTAAATCAATATTTTTGAAAGGCAGAGACTTGAGATAATGATATTTACAGAAACACTATGCTGGTATAGATATTTTTAAGAGAAAGCAGGGAATTTTTTTGTATTACAACATTAATGCCTATTTTACAAAGGGACTCCAACTGAGTTTATTTAAAGGACATTTCAAAGAACTGTTAAATATCAAAAAATATTATTTTGGGGGCTGGGGTTGTGGTTCAGTGGTAGAGCACTCGCCTAGCACACCTGAGGCACTGGGTTCGATTCTCAGCATCTCATAAAAATAAAATAAAGTTATTGTGTCCACCTACAACTAAAATATATTTTTTAAAAATCATTTTGTTTGATTTAAAATTGTGTCACGAATTATAAGGAAATTGCATGTCTGTATCTAATGTATATTTTAAAGTCAGTTTAAGTTATGAAAAATTATATCTCAAAATTATAATTAAATATAAAAATGCTATAAGAAGTATCCATTTTTCTTTATATTTATTTCAAATGCAGTTTAAAACAGTATTTTGATGGGCCTGGGGATGTGGCTCAAGCGGTATCGCGCTCGCCTGCCATGCATGCGGCCCGGGTTCGATCCTCAGCACCACACACAAAGAAAGATGTTGTGTCTGCCGAGAACTGAAAAACAAATATTAAAAAAATTCTCTCCCCTCTTTCTTTTAAAAAAAAAACAACAGTATTTTGAAAAAATCAATATAGACTCATATAAATTTGAATATAAATAGTCCTTTTCCCCTAATTTAAAAAAATTTTTTTTTATTTTACTGGGGATTGAACCCAGGTACATTTAACCACCGAGCCACATCCATAGCCTTTTTAAAAATGTTTTATTTTTTTATGGTTCTGAGGATTGAACCCAGGGCCTTGTTCATACCAGGCAAGCACTCTACCAACTGAATTATATCCCCAGCCTTATTTTGAGACAGGGTCTCACTAAGTCCTTAGGGCCTTGCTAAATTAAAGAGGCTGGGTTTCATTTTGTAATCCTCTGGCCTCAGCCTCCTGAGTCCCTGGGATTATAGGTGAACGCCACTGCACCCAGCTTCCTAACGTCTTTAAGTATTGTTGAAGATCGCTATTTTGATCCCTGTATTTACAAAAATTTTAGGATATTCAGACTCCCGACTTTGGTTGCTGCAGTCATAGCATTTTCCAGGCTGAGGTAAGAGGGTGCCTTAAGTCCAGGGGTTTGAGATCAGCCTGAACAGAGCAAGATGCCCACTCAAACAAAACAAAACAAAATGCCCTGGGTTTGAGCCAGGCATGGTGGCTGTTTTAGTCAGCTTTTTGCTGCTATGACTAAAGGACCTGATCAGCACAATTATAGAGGACAAAAGTTTATTTGAGGGCTTGTAGTTTCAGAGGTCTTAGTCCTTGGAAAGACGGCTCCATTCCTAGAGGCTGAACAACATGGTGGGAGAGAGTGGCAGAGGGAAGCAGCTTATTTCATCAGGAAGCAGAGAGTCTCCACTCTCAAGATACAAAATATATACCCCATAGCCACATGCTATCACCTCGGTTACCATTCAGTTAATTCCTATCAGAGGATTAAATCAGACTCTCACATGTGAGCTTTTGGGGGACACCTCACATCCAAACCATAACAGTGGCACATGTCTATCATCCTAGCTACTCCAGAGGCAAAGGCAGGAGGATTGTAAATTCAAGGCCAGCTTCAGCAATTTAACAAGCTTCCATCTCAAAAAAAAAAAAAAAAAAAAGAAGAGGAAGAAAAGGGTTGGGGTTGTGGTTCAGTGATACAACTAGGAGCCCTCAGGAGACCCTAGGTTCAATACCTAGCACCATAAACAACAACAAAGTCAAAACATAAATCAAACAAATAAAAGTATTGGCTTAATTGTTCTTTACTACTAACTTCCACAGGTGATATTATTAAATGACTGATATGTGTTTCTTCATTTGGGACTTTCATCTTTTATTAAACAATGCTAAATAAGTGACAGCATCAAAGTATTGTTAAGAATTATTAAGGGAGGGCTGAGGTTGTGGCTCAGTGGTAGAGTGCTTGCCTAGCACCTAGCACCCTGGGTTCCATCCTCAGCACTACATAAAAATGAATAAGTAAATAATGGTATTCTGTCCAACTACTATATGTATATGTATATAAACATATATATATTAGTTATATATATATTTGTTTTATATATATTTATATATAGTTATATATATAGTTATATTATATATATATATAGTTATATATATATATTTGTTAACTCAAAGACCAGAATTAGACATTGAATATTCATTTACTACTTAATGTTGCTTTCAAGCCTATACTGATACTTCTTTTTTTAATCCTTGTCTTAAAAAGTCAAAGTAACTGAGAAGTAGATTTTACAGATCACCTGAAATCTATACTTAGAATAGGGCTATTAGAACTGAAACCCATACACAACTTGTTTCATTATACTCAATTCAATCAAGTGATCAGATTAAACTACATTTGAAAATTTAATGGATTATCTTTTCTTTCCTTTTTTTAATTCAATTTTGCAGCAGTGGGGATTGAACCTGGGAACATTTACCACTGTGTTACCCCTCATCCCTTTTTAGATTTTATTTTGAGACAGGAGCTCACTAAGTTGCCCAGGCTCATCTAAAACTTGTAATATTTCTGCCTCACCCTTCCAAGTTGCTGGGATTATAGGTGTGTGCCACAAACACAGCATCAGGTCAAATTGAACTTTTAAAAAGTAAATTGATGGTTATTTTGAACTGACATAGACAAAATTATATGATACAATATTACAAACATGGCAACTTTTGATCTAGAAATGGGTCAAATTTGAAATTTTAAAAGTGATTTTGGGAAAGGTAATACTTTTTAAATGAAGGTTGAGAGATATGAATAAGTATTCTAAAGTTGAATTCAGGTATATTATAGTTCATTTAAAGATGTAATTTGTAGCATAAAAGCATAAAAGTCAGGATTATTTTATTTAATCCTGTATAAGCATTGTTTAATTGCAGTATTTTCCCTTAAGTAATAATTATTTTATCATTTGGATAACATGGATTTTTATCTAATAGTGCAGATTTACCTGCTTTTTGTAAAAACAAAGAAACAAACAAAAAATAGGAGATATATTTGATTGTGGGATTTAAAAAGCTGTTAAAAACCTGGGTATGTTGGCATATGCCTATAATCCCAGCAATCTGGGAAGCTAAGGTAGGATGATCACAAGTTTCAAATTAGCCTCAACAATTTAGCAAGGCCCTAAGCAATTTAGTGAGATCCTGCCTCAAAATAAAAAATAAAAAGGGTTGAATATAGCTCAGTGGTAAAGGGCCCCTGGGTTAAATCTCAAGTACTCCCCACCAAAAAGAAAAAGTTGAGTGTCAACATAAAGTAGCTGTAGATACTGTAAATAATTTTGGTCATTTTGATTCTTTAACAGCTAAAATAAGAAAAAATATTTCTCATTGATTTTCTTGAAAGGCAGAAATATGTATTTTTGCAATGGTATCTAGATATTATACCTTCTTGGATGATAAGTGTATCTAACAGGAATGAAATCCTAAGGGGACTATGTATTATCTTATTCTTAACCATAAGCTTATATGGTTCCACAGAGTGTTTGTTGACAGTTATGTTAGTTTTAGGTTTTTTGTTTTTTTTTAACATACTTTTTAGGATTAAAGGCAATGTAGAAATAGAATTGCATACAGTTTTTGTGATTCTTCCTTGGACAAGGAATAAAGGAAAGGCTGTACAGTAGATTGAATAAAGGTGCCTCAAATGTGTCAAAGTTTCTCAAATGTGTCAAAGTTTTAACCTCTGGGCACTGTGACTTTGGAGATGTGCCTAAGGATCTGGGATGGAGAGATTATATTTTATGGGCCCAAAATAATCACAAGAATGAGGCAGGAGGGTCAAAATAAGAGAGACAGATTAGAGGATGGATTCTGCTGGCTTTGAAAGTGAATGGTGCTGTGAACAAAGGAATGCTGGAGGCATCTAGAAGACAGAAAAGGCAAGGAAAATGATTCTCTTTTAGAGCTTCTGGAAGAATGCAGCCCTGCCAATACCTTCTGACCTTTTGTACTCTGAGAGAGAAAATTTGTATTACTTAAGCCACCAAGTTTGTGATAGTTTGTTACATCAGCAACAGGCATTAATATACAGACTACAAATTTATGTTTTAATGCATTATTTATCAAACAAATTGTCACAATGATCACAAAGGTTCAAAGAATGACCTCCTAGAAAATAAAAGGGAAGCCCACAACAATGTAGGTATTTCTAAAAAGACATTTCTTTGTATTTGTTTGCAGATATGATCGCTCAAATAAAGTTACCTATGAAAATTCATGAAGAAGTATTTTTTGAAACCTCATCTAAAAATGATGAAAAATCAAAACCATCAGTGGACTTTGAAGGATCTGCTCAGGTGGAAATAGACAGATCCATGGAAAATCCCCTGTTAAACAGCCAGATGGTTTTAACTGATAGCTCTTTGTCTTCTCAAAATTACATTCCTCTAAATGGTAAGAAACAGGTTATTGTTTTCTAATTTCTCAGTTAAGGAACAAATTAGGATCAGCAGTTATATGTCAAATATTAATATATTTATTTATAACTCCACAGAAAATGCTACTGAGTTTCAGATTCTGAAATACATATTTCAAATTAATGTTTATGAGTTCGTGAATTCTGCACTTTCACTGGTTATAATTCTTACAGAAAGGGTAAGTTGGCCTTTTAAATCTTTCAAAATAATTTACTATTTTACTAAATATTAGAGCAGCTTCAAAATGTTTTTTCAATCTTTCTTTTTTAAAATTAATTTATTTTAATTAGGTAAAAATGACAGCAGAATGCATTTTGATTTATTATACACAATTGCAGCACAACTCTTCATTTCTCTGGTTGTACACATTGTAGTGTCACAGCATAAGTCCAGTCACACATGTACCTAGGGAAATGATGTCCATCTCATTCCACCATCTTTCCTGCCCCCATGCTCCATCCCTTCCCTCTCTCTCCTTTGCCCAAAGTTCCTCTATTCTTCCCATGTCCTCCTCCCATTCTGTATCAGCATCTACTTATCAGAGAGAACATTTGACCTTTGGTTGTTGGGATTGATTTACTTCATTTAGCATGATATTCTCCAACTCCATCCATTTACCTGCAAATACCATAATTATTTGATTGTTTTAATGCTGAGTAATATTCCTTTGTGTGTGTGTATGTATATGTGTGTACATACATACATATATTGTAAGGGACCGGTGAACGACGGAGGAAGAGACCACCAAGAGACTGACTCATGCAACAGCACAAGGGGGTTTATTGCAGATCCAGCATGCTGGGGCTCTGTGCTCACTCAAGGAGGGAGAGCAGCCCAGAGCCCCGAGCAGGGGTTGAGCAGTGTTTAAGTACACTCTTTTTAGGGAGGGCAGGGACTTTACGTACATCACAGTCTCCTTTAACAAATCACTATACACCGCGGGAGAATCAAACAACAATTCTTAAACATGATTAGTACATCCATTGGCAGGAACAGGTCAGGTGGGGGTGATAGGTCAGTCCTAAGAAGGGGGGTACATTCAAACTGATTGGTTTGGGCCCTGAATGCCTACGTGCCAAACTGCACAGGGCCCAGGTTATTTAACAACTAAATGGTCAGGGGGAATATCCACTGGGCAGTCCCGTGAATTGTCCTAATGTTACCGCTGTTGACCGGTGTGTTCTTGCTTCCCCAATGTTGAAGAATAACACCAAAGAACCACGCTGAGGCAAGGTCAGAGTAGAAATTAGAAGTTTATTAAAGGACAGCAGAAAAGACTTCTCCCGGAGGAAGAAGGGGACCCAAGAGGTGGAATCCGTGGAAGGGATGTTGTCTCCCCTTTTTATAGTTCTTTCAGTGATGGAATGTAGGTGGGAAGGCCCAAGGGGTGGGACACAGGTAGGCCAAAGAAGTAATCTGGTCAGGAAGGACTTCTGAGTCAGCACCTTTTTGCTGGGGGCTGTTCATTAACATTTCTTTGAGGTGGACTTTGGCCTAGGGCCTTTTCGGGACTTCATTAACATTCCATGAGTTGTCCTGTGTTTTCCCTGAGTCATTCTCCGCACGGCCTCCATTTTAGATTTCACTCGATATTAGACCCGATTTACCTAACTACACTGACTACCTAACTTTAAATCTGGCTTCACTAACAGCTACAGGAATTTCAGGTTTTGAGTGTAGCATAGGAACTTAACAATACCTGGTCTTTTACATTTTAACTCAGGCTTTGCAGCTTAGAAGCTTTACAATGCCTGGTCTTTAACTTCAGTTTCTTTTATCCTTTCAATATATATATATATATATATATATATATATATGTGTGTGTGTGTGTGTGTGTGTGTGTGTGTGTGTGTTTGTGTGTGTGTGTGTATACATAGATCTATCTATCTATCTATCTATCTCTTTCTCACAGTTTGTTTATCCATTCATCTATTGAAGGGCATTTAGTTTGCTTCCACAGTTTAGCTATGGTAAATTGAGTTGTTATGAACATTAATGTGGCTGTGTTACTATAGTATGGTGATTTTAAGTACTTTGGATATAGACCAAGGAGTGGTATAGCTGGGTCAAATGGTGGTTCCATTCCAAGTTTTCTATGGAATGTCCATATTGCTTTCCAGAGTGGTTGCACCAATTTGCAGTCCAACCAGCAATGTATGAGTATGCCTTTCCCTCACATCCTCACCAACATTTATTGTTGTCTGTGTTCTTGATAACTGCCATTCTGATTGGTGTGAGATGAAATCTTAGAGTAGTTTTGATTTGCATTTCTCTAATTACTGTTATGCTCGAATTCGGGACCCCCCAAAAGACCACCAGAGACCAAGATCGATTTAAACAGCAAAGAGGTGTTTATTGAGAGCTAGCTTGGTCCTCTGTGTGCACACACAGCAACTGGTGACGCTGAGAAGCCCAGAGCCCAGGGTTTACAGCAGTTTTATACACTCTTTGAGGAAGGCAGGGACTTCACATACATCATAGCATCTCTTAGCAAATCATCACACACCGCGGGAAAATCAAATAACAACTCTAAAACATGATTAGCACATTCACTAGTGGGAACAAGTTGGGTAGAGGTGATTGGTTACTACAAGAGGGGGATTTATTTGAACTGATTGGTTTAAGACAAGAGGGGTGTACATGCTGAACTACATGGTTTCCCAACACGTTATCAACCACCATAAACTACTGGAAGGGTCATCTGGCATCCCAGGTATTTCCCTGTCTCATGCTGATTGGTGGCTGCTAGGGGGTTGCTATGGATCCCCACCTAGCCTGACTGAGTCAGGGACACCTGGCACAGGGATCTCTCCTGTTATTTGTAGATAAACAACTTAGCAGGGTGGGAATGTACCTGGAGGGCATGGTGAGAATGAATTGCTGAGAAATGCAGGACAACTCTTGAAATGTTAATGAAGTCCCGAGAAAAGCCCTAGGCCCAAAGTCCATCCCAAAGAAATGTTAATGAACAGCCCCAGCAGATTTGAAGATAGCCCATCCCAAAGAAGTGTTAATGAAGTCCTTCCTGCCCAGATTACTTCTTTGACCCACCTGTTTCCAACCCCTTGGGCCTTCCCACCTACATTCCACCACTAAAAGAACTATAAAAAGGGGAAACAACTGCATTTCCACGGATTCCACCTCTTGGGTCCCCTTATTCCTCCTGGAGAAGTCTTTTCTGCTATCCTTTAATAAACTTCTATTTCCACTCTAAACTTGCCTCTGCGTGCTTCTCTGGTGTTATACTTCAACACTAGGGAAGCAACAGTGGTAACATCACCATGCACAAAACTCAACTCAAAGTGGATCAAGGACCTAGGAGTCACTGCACCTAATATAGGAAAAAGTAGGCCCAAATCTTCATCACGTCAGATTAGGCCCCAACTCCCTTAACAAGACTCCTAAAGCACAAGAAAAAAAATCAAGAATTGATAAATGGGATGTACTCAAACTAAAAAGATTCTTCTCAGCAAAAAAAAAAAAAAAAAAAAAAAAAAAACACAGAGAGCCTACATTTGGGGAGCAAATTTTTGCCACACACAAGTCACATAGAACACTAATCTCCATGATATATAAAGAATTCAAAAAACTTAACACCAAAAAAAAAAAAAAAAAAAAAAAAAAAAAACAACCAAATCAATAAATGGGTTAAGGAGCTGAATAGAAACTTATCAGAAGAAGATATGCATTCTATCAACAAATATATGAAAAAATGTTCAACATTTCTAGTAATGAGAAACCAGCCTCTGCCTCAAAGCAAAGCCTGTCCATGGAAGGGACATCACCTTTGTCCTTGGAAAGACCCACAGAGCACTCCTAGGCACATTCCCACCCTGCTAAGTTGTTTATCTACAAATAATGGGAGAGATCTGCTGTGCCAGGTGTCCCTGACTCAGTCAGGCTAGGTGGGGATCCATAGCAACCCTCTAGCAGCCACCAATCAGCATGAGACAGGGAAATACCTGGGATGCCAGATGACCCTCCCAGTAGTTTATGGTGGTTGGTAACATATTGGGAAACCATATAGTGCATCACTGTACACCCCTCTTGGCTTAAACAATCAGTTCAAATGAATACCCCTTTTGTACTGACCAATCACCCCTACCCAACTTGTTCCCACCAGTGAATGTGCTAATCATGTTTTAGAGTTGTTATTTGATTTTCCCGTGGTGTGTGATGATTTGCTAAGAGATGCTATGATGTATGTGAAGTCCCTGCCTTCTCCAAAGAATGTATAAAACTGCTGCAAACCCTGGGCTCAGGGCCTCTCAGCGTCAACAGTTGCTGTGTGTGCACGCGGAGGACTGAGCTAGCTCTCAATAAACACCTCTTTGCTGCTTACATCGATCTTGGTCTCTGGTGGTCTTTTTGGGGTCCCGAATTCGAGCATAACAGTACCAGAGAATCAGGAGCTAAGATATTGTTCCCATGACAAAGTTGGTGAGGACATGGCTTCTATCTGAGCATGTCAATCTTTAAGGATATTTGTCACATTGCCAGAATTGTCAGGGGTGTAAACACAACATTTAACTTTTAGGGTTACAGATGTCCTTCCCCTTGAGATACAGTTTAATAATTTAATGTCATCTGATCTTGCAAAATTCTTTTACTAGTATGACCTCTATGTCTAATAGAGAAATCTTTAATTCTGTTACTTAGGGCTGGATAACCATTCTAGCAAACACTAAGCCTACCAGTGTAGGTTAGAAATAGCTCTACTCTGGCAGTTCCTTTTGATAGTTATCAGGCATTCCTGCCTAAGAATCTCTTTTGTAGCCTCCAGTTTACTTATGCATGCCAGGCAAGAGTGCTACTGCATGAGCCACATCCCCAGCCCCTCATTAACACTTCTTTGGAATGGGCTATCTTCAAATCTGCTGCAGCTGTTCATTAACATTTCTTTTGGGATTAACATTTTTTGGTGCCTTTATCTAGTATGAGATATGGAGATATCTGTATTTATGTGGGTATGACTCTGTGTCTTCTATTATGTACCATTGGTGTACATGTCTATTTTGGTGCCAATACCATGCCATTTTGTTACTATAGCTTTGTAGTATAGTTTAAGGTCTGGTATTATGATGCCTCTTGCTTCACTCTTCTTGCTAAGGATTGCTTTGTCTATTCTGGGTCTCTTATTTTTCCAAATGAATTTCATGGTTGCTTTTTCTATTTCTA